AGAGAGAGAGTGGTGAGGTGCTGGAACAGCTGCCCAGAGAGGCTGTGATGCCCCGTCCATCCCTGGAGGTGTTCAAGGCCAGGTTGGATGGGGCCCTGGGCAGCCTGGGCTGCTGTGAGATGGGGAGGTTGGTGGCCCTGCATTGGTGGGGGTTGGAGCTTCGTGATCCTTGAGCTCCCTTCCAACCCAAACCATTCTGTGATTCTGTGATTCACACACACAGTGAAAACCACAAGTAGTCCTGGGGTCCTTTGGCCCAAAGCACTTCAATCAGAGGCTTCACCATGAGCAGCAGCACTGTGACACAGCAGAGCCTGGCAGGATGAATGTGCTCATCTCCCTGCATGCACACACTGACACAGACACCAAGCAGTGAAAGAAAAGGGCTGACAGTGGGTCAGACACTGATCTACGTGTGGGAATACTGCTGCTTAAGAGCAGAGATCAGGAGACCTTGATTCTTTTAAACCAGCAAAACAACACGCCTTGTACAAACCTACGGAGGGAAAGAAGGTCTCACTAAGCTGAAAGAAAGCATTTACTGACAAAGCAACATCTGGAAATTGACCATGGATAGCAGTAAACTGGAAATCAGAAGGAAACTGCATCAAAGCTGGATGTCTCTGAGGATCCCCCCACTAGAATACAGAAGTGGAACTGCTTTTATGGGCAGTTTTCTAAGGGAAGTTTTCTGGCAGGTGAAGGCAGGGCCTCCTGCTGCCAGGAGGGGTGGGGAAAGGACTAAGCACTGTCACATGTGGGGTCCTTTCCCCACAGTACCTGCAGACTGTTCTGCATGTCTAACTCTGATCCTCCTGTCTGCCTTGGAAGGGACACCAACCAGAGGGACCCCCATGTTCCTTTGGGTGGTTTAGTGGGTGGAAAACGGTCTGAAGAGATGCAGGGCTGCCTCTTCCCCCTCATAACCAGGGGAAAATGGGATTTTGGGTGTTTGAGAGTTTCCCATCGCTGCGGAAGCCCTTGGGAAGGGGGCAGAGCACAGCTCTGTGGAGCAATGCCCACCTCAGGGAGCTGATGTGGTGCACAGGGGGTGGTGGAGGGGCTTTACTGCAAAGAGAAACTACCTCAGGGAAGTGCCAGCTCAAAGGTCTAAACCGTGGACACTGGTTTGATGGAGGTCTGGCAGGGGAAGGACGTATCCCCATCCTGGACACTGGGGTGTAAATGCCAGGGAGTGACACACAGAAGTAGAGCAAGCCTTGAACACATCCCTGGAGGTGTTGGAGGCCAGGTTGGATGGGGCCCTGGGCAGCCTGGGCTGCTATGAAATGTGGAGGTTGGTGGCCCTGCATTGGTGGGGGGTTGGAGCTTCATCATCCTTGAGGTCCCTTCAACCCAAATCATTCTGTGATGCTGTGATTCTGTGCACAGGGCTGGATCCCTTCCCAGCTCAGCCCTTACACCCAGTGCCCGTGGCTCAGATTCAGGGTTGGGGGTGACCTCCCTGCAGCACAGCTCCATCTGCACGGGGGCACACACTGTCACGGGGGGCTTTTCACAGTGGGGTGGAGCTGAGCTGCTTTCTGTGGATCAGGGTGCCTGGAGGAGACCTTGGAGCCCTCCCAGCCCAGATGGGTGCTGTAGGGATCTGTGGCTGGGCTGGATAAGAAGGCATCCCAGTGCTTGTGCCCATGGCTGATGTCCACTGCGAAGAGGTGCACGTGGAGTTCTGTGAGCGCTGTTATGGACTCAAAGTAAAGGAGGAAATGGGTGTGGAGGAGAAAAAAGTGTGAAGACAGAAATTCACAGCGAGGGTTTTATTGCTGCTGTGCCCCCTCAGCACATGCAAGCAGCTTCTCCATGAAATGTCCTGCCAGCACCCATGGGTGCCTGTGGGGAGCAAGAGTTCAGTCAGGGTTGGGGTTAGGGTCAGCCTGGCCTCTTTTTTCTGTTGTTTTTTTTTTCTTCCCTCCTTTCATTCTTTCTTAAAGCTGTGCCTCAGTTTCCCTGCCTGGAGAGGAGCGTTGGCTTTCATTTGGCTTTGGGTTTGAGAGCTGAGCTGCTCCTGGTCGGAGCATTGGGCTGCTGAAGACAGACGGAAAGCAAAGCTGCTGCCTGGCCTGCTCCTCACATTACCCTGAGGTCTGATCCTCCTCTTCCCCACGCTGGAGGATTTGCAAAATGAATGGACAGAACAAAGCACATCCCGGAGCAGCAGTGGTGCCTCCAGCTGCAGTCTGCCTGCCTGGTGGGAAGGGGATGGCATACAGCTGCAGCTCTGGGGGCGACAGGCAGCTGAGACGAAGTGGGTCTGGCAGCACTTCCATCCTGAATGCTCCTGGAAGCCCAGGTAGAGAGGATTGCATTTTGCTGTATCTCACTTGTTGGAGACAGGTGTGGTATGGCAGCACTCAGCCACTCTGGGATCCCTTTCCTAATGGGGACCTTGCCCTGCCTGGGACCTTTGGGGTGAGAGGCTGCCCTGCCTCAGTTTCCCCACTGCTGAACACCAAACACCAGCCGAACTGATGGTGGATCAGGAGCTGCGCCTGCATGGGGAATTGGGGGGCTCTCTGAGCTCCCAAAAGCCTTCCTGTGTGCAGGGAAGCGAGGCTGTGTGCCACAGAAATAGGGTCAGACACAGGGTCATAGAATCATCAAACCATGAAGGTCAGAAAAGCCCTCTTAGACCCCCAAGTCCAACCCCAACTCATCCCATCACACCTGCTGACCACGTCCCTCAGTGCCACATCTCCGTGGTTCTTAAACACCTCCATCCCTGCTGACTCCCCCACCTCCCTGGAGAAGAGGGGCTGGCTACCAGGACGTGTCCCACTTGTCCTTTGGGATTATGGTCCCTGGTCACCACCATGGGATGGAGGGCAGCTGGGAAGTCCCACAGCTGCAGGACACGTGTCCAGCCCTTGGTGAGTAACCGGGGGCCATGAGCTCTCCTGGCTCTGCTTTGAAAATACAAATAAATACCAAAGAAGCACTAAATATTTTCCACTTGGCTGCTACACTGCCTCAGCAGAAGTGTTTTCTGCTGTCTCAGAATTGTGACGCAGCACAAAAGTGAGCCAAAAGGCCTTATCACTGCCCTGCCCGCGCTGTTTGCACCAGCCGTGTTATCGCCCCGTGGCAACCACACGCAACCGTGACTCAGCACAGCGCTGCTGGGAGCTCCTTGCAGCATCCTGCTGCAGAACGTGGGCTTGAGAGCCCACCTGAGTGCCCTGCTGCAGGGCAGCCCCAGCATCGTGGGCCTCGAGGTGGGGGAGCCAATATCTGTGGGCTGTTGTCTGCGCTCAGCTCAGCTCAGTGCAGCGGTCTCACGTCATGCGGTGCTGTCAGGCTTTGTGTGCAGCGACCTGGTGCTGTGCAGTGGTCCCACTGAGTGCAGTGGTCGAATATTGTGTGATGGTCGCAGGCTGTGTGCTGGTCTCGTGTTGTACAGCAGTCCTCTGGAGGCTGGTGGCCGTGCCTGGGGCAGGGGAGTCGGAACTTGATGATCCTCGAGGTCCCCTCCAACCCAAACCACTCTACGACGCAGTGCTGTGCAATGGCCTGGTGTTGTGCAGCAGTCCCAGGTTGCAAGGTTTAGATTGGGCATGAAAAGTAATTCCTTCATGGAGAAGGTGGTTAAGAGAGGAATGCCCGTGGAGTCCCCACCCCTGGGGGGATTTAAAAGGGCCCAAGGGCTGAGCGGTGGGGGTTGGTGGGTCAGGTTAATGGCTGCGCTTGGCGATCTTGAAGGTCTTTCCTGACCTCAATGATTCTGTGAGCTGAGTAAAATCTGTGACGGACTTCAGGTCCATCCCCGGTCCACTGCCAGCATTCATTGCTTCAAATGCACTTGGGGAACATAACTTATGCAGAAAGTGCAGTGCTCGCCATTCCTCATCCATGCTGCAAACAGGAGGAGGAAGGCCCAGCTCCGAGCACAGCACTGCACCTTCCTGGCCCCACAGGAGCCTTCTTTGCTCACAGGCACCTTCCATTAGCAAGTGCCTGGGGCTGCACCGTCTGGGACACAGTTCTTGTGGTTCCCACTGGGTATTTGGCGGATGGGGGTCCTTCCCTGCTCCCTTCTTGCCTGGCAATGGGGAACACCCACTGTCCAGCCTTGGGCAGTGGCCTTGCAGCCACTTTCTGCTCTCCTGAGCCCACAGCTGTGAGTTTGGGCCCTGCACTGTAGAAGTTCCCCAGAAGGAATTCCACGCTGAGGGGGCTCGAGTTGCTTGTAGGACATGAGTGACATACAGGACGCAGTACGACCTTTAAGGCACGGAGGCACCTGTGAGATGCAGTGCTGCACATAGAACATGACTGCCACATACAGTACACAATACCAAGAGCAGGACACAATGTGACACGTAGGACACAGCGTCACTTGTAGGAAACGGTGTCCCATATAGGACATAACATAATAGCATAGCATATATAATAATATAATAGTATAGCAGTCAACATCTCATAATGCTTGAAGACATTTTTGCACTGCTGCCTTCCTGGTCAGGGCGCTGTGATTCACGGTCTGTGTATTTCACCTGAATGGTCCCACAAGGGACCTTCTCTGTGGGTCTGCTTCTTCCCCTTCCCTCCTCCCATGCTCACCTCCTGCACAGAACCCCCTGGGAACACCTTTAGGAACCCCACTGATGGAGGAGCAGATGGGGGGCTCAGCTCCCTTTTGCCCCACCAGCTGTGCTGTGTTCACTTGGCACCACTGTCAGCATTTTGGGCAATAGCAATGAAGAAGACCCTGAAATCCTCCCCTGCATCACTTCTCTCCTCCGTAAGGAAAACAATGGGAGGAAAACTCGGTTTTCCCATAGCTACCACAGCTGCACAGCAGTGTGACCCCAGGAAACAACAGCAGCTGCTGGGTGGAGGCGTGCCCAGACCCCAGCCCACTTCTGCCAACCCCAAGCAGGTGGCGGTGCGGTGGGCGCAGCCCGGTGCTGGATTTATCTGGGGCTGCAGTCAGGGTGGTGAGGAACTATCTGGTGTGGGGCTGGCAGGGCGTGGGGCTGCCGGGGGGGCGATAGGGGGGCAGCGGGCTGCATGGCAGCTGATAGGGGGTGTTGTGCTGTGGGGATGCTGCTCCCAGCACAGCACGAAGGGCTGAGGCTGCTCCAGGAGCCCATTGCACTGTGCCCCAATACACCCCATCCTGGTGTTCTCAGGGCTTGGTTTGCCCCCAGCCCAAGGCAGAGTGGGTTCTGGTGGGAGAACAGAAGCTGGGACTCTTGGCCACGGGTCTGCATCCTTGTGCTGAGTAGATGGAGGATTTTGAGCCAGAGGGTGGTGAGGCAGTGGCACAGGTTGCCCAAGGAGGCTGTGGATGCCCCATCCATCCCTGCAGGCATTGGAGGCCAGGCTGGATGTGGCTCTGGGCAGCCTGGGCTGCTGGTTGGCGACCTGCACACAGCAGGGCTTGGAGCTGGATGAGCGCTGTGCTCCTTTGCAGCCCAGGCTATTCTGTGATTCTATGATTCTCTGACATGCTGGCAATGATCCTGGGCTCCCTGGTGAGGAGCAGGGGTGAGAGCAAATCATCAGCTCAGTTATAGGCAGGGAAAAGCTTACCTCAAATGGAACTGCCTTGGGACACCTCCTCATCCATACTGAGCTGCTTTGGCCCCTTTCTGGATTCCTTCTTGTGCTGAGGGATAAGCCAGCAGTTGTGTAATTAAATCATTCACGTCTGTCTGAATATCCTGGCTCTCACACCTGACCTCGTGTCTCACATCCCTTCTGAACAGAGCCTGGAGAATTCCTTTACAAGGATATGGGGAAAGGGATGTGTGAACAGGGCCAGAGCCCTTTGCTGCAGAGCCCAGAGCTCCTCTGTGCAATTCTGTGCATTTCTGCTGTGAACAGCCCCAAACTGCACATGAGACCAGAGTTTCAGACACATAAGATTTCCCATGATATTAAATCAGCACAGCACAAGGCTGTAAGGCAGCTCCAGTGCTGATGTTTGCACTGTAAGTAACTCGTATGGCATGAAGCTCGGGCTCTGAGTGCCTGGCATTGAATCACAAGAATAATGACCTGAGCACAGCCAGGGCTGCTCTGTGCCTCTTGGATCAGAGCAAACATGCATGCAGGGTAAAGTCAGGATCCCTAACTGAGACACCCAGGTTAGGAGTGAGCCCCTGACCCCCGTGAATTTCACTGCACTCCTTAAGGCAGCAGCTAGAACCAGTGCTTTGCTTTGTGTTTTATTCACTGCTGAAGTCAGAAGTTCACTAACAACCAGCAATGCAGAAATGCTGTGTTCCTGACCTGTGCAGATGGAATGAACAGGTCCTGCAGCAGCATCCAGGCTGCAGAGCCGGGGCACTGACCTCTGCACAGACCCGATGCTGTGCACCAGCAGATGCTGTGGGAGCAGAGCAGTGCTCACAGAACTCACAGTTATGTTCCCCCTCGGTTTATTGCTGTGGCACAGAAGCCATTTGAACTGCCTTTCAGCTGGGTGATGAGCCAAGGCTCAGTTGGATGGCTCTCCTTACAGCAATAACATGGAACTTTCTGCCTGCTGCAAAACCATCTGCTCTGACTGCACTGTGCCGTGCCCATACATCTTCTGGGGTTTTTCTGCCTCCTGTTCCCTCCCAAGAAAAAGGCATCCTCAGAAATCCTCCGTGTCTGTGTTCAGGCACGGCAAGGTGAATCAGTTATGGTGCTTCAGGCCAGCTGGTTGCTGCTCCCATTTTCCTAAATTCGTCATGAAGTTTGTCCTGAGAGGGCCCAGAGCAGAAGCTCTGCCTGTCCCTTTGCGTCTGCGGCTGTTCTGTAAGACTCTGCTCTGGTTCCCATTTTGGGGTTCACCTGGGCAGTAGCCTGAAGGCTGCTGTTGCCCCTGGAGCAGCTCTGCATCAGCAGCATGGCAAGGGTAGGTCAGCTGTGCACCACGTGAGCTTGTCATGGCACAGTGAAGAGCACCTCTGCCCCATTTCCTCTGCTTCCCCCCTCCCGTGGCTCTCAGGACCACCATCATCCATCTCACAGAGATGTGACCCTGCTCCACAGTGCACCCATGAGAGTGGATCTGAGTGGTCCATGGTGTGGGGCAGGGACCTGGGGTTTCTTTCCTCTCTGCCTGCTTTTCCATGGACTACAGAAAGTCGGCATTTATTGACCACAGATCCTCGTTAACACTAATCCTGCAGCGCTCTCCTCTGAGCACTGCGTCTGACGCTCACTGTTGTCCCAGCCACCCCTCCCCAAACTCTGTCATACTGCAGGCTCACAGGCAGAAGAAAAACATCATTATCTTTTTATTGGAAGTTCAGCTTCACCGAGCTGAAAATGAGACTCCCATCACAGATGAGGCAAACGTGTTGCTAATAATAAACCCAGATGTAGCTTGGATTTTATCCTTTGTGCGGGTCTGCCAGGCAAAGCAGACTGCAGGAAGAGAAGCAATAACCAAGCAGGACATGAGAGGAGCACTCCAGGCTGTTCACTGCCTCCCAGCTGAGCACGCAGCTGTCCTGGCCAGCTCTGTTCAGCGCTGTGCTGGCTGACACACGATGGAGTATCTGTGTGCCACGGAGGGTTGCACATATTCTACGAGTCTTGGTGAGAACTGAAGAGCTTCCGAAGCCTTCAGATCTCTTCAGGAACCGCGGGTGCGTGGCTCTGCGTCTGCTCTTTAGGTGAGAGCTGCAGCAGGCTCCGGCCAGCTGTGCGATGCGCTTATCTGCGCCGGGCAGCCCGCACCCTGCAGGCGTTATCGGCGCACTGCGGGCGCTGCCTCGCTGCGGGAAGGGGCCCCCGGGCCGCGCGTGGGACTGAGGAATTCCAAATAAATGAGCGCATAATTCGATAAATAGATAGTACAATGTAAGAATTTCTCCTAGGGGGCTGCAGCAAGAATCTGTAGTGTGATTGCATCCATCAGTGATCCCAACTGGATCACATTCGGATGGCTGATGAATCGTAGAGTGGTTTCAGTTGGAAGGGACGTTTAAAAAGCTTCTGGCCCAATTCCCCTGCGCTGAGTGAGGACACCCACAGCTGCATGGGGTGCTCAGAGTGCTGCGTTTGTGCCACTGCTCAGTGTTGTTCCATGGAGGTCAGTGAACCAGCACTGATCTGTAAGTGGCACAGGTCAGAGGTCCGATCATAGAATCATAGAACCATAGAATCCTAGAGGCTGGAAGAGACCTCCCACGATCATCAAGTCAATCCATCCCTGTCATGCCCATTAATACAATGATAGAATCACTTGACTTGGAAGGGGTCCTTAAAGGTCATCTAGCTCAACAACCCTGCAATAGAATCATTAAGGCTGGAACAGAGCTCTAAGATCAAATCCAACCATCAGCCCATCACCACCATGCCCACTGACCATATCTCCACTGGATGAAGCCTTCTAGACTGCCTCTGGAAAGAGCCAAACCCCACAGTCCTGCTGGGGTTCTGCATGCCTCCCACCCTGGCTTAGTGTGCCTGTGCACAGGAGCACCAAAAACCCATTTCAAATGGAGTCTGAGGCCCAGAGCCAAGCAGAAGACTTTGGTGAGGCTCTGAACCAGGACGTGACTGGTCTGGTTGTAGAGTGGCTGATCCTGCTGGCCTTATGCGAGGTCTTCTACTTCCCAGAAAAGAGAACACAAGGGAGCTTTAGACTGGACAGAAGGAAAATAATGAGGCTGATGAAGCACTGGTGCAGGTTGCCCAGAGAAGTGGTTGATGTCCCGTCCCTGGAGACAGCCAAACTCAGGCTGGACAGGGCTCTGAGCACCTGATGGAGCTGTGGCTGTCCCTGCTCAGCCCTAAGGGCTTCTAAAGATTCCTTCCAACTCAAATAACTCTGTGGTGCTACGATCCTACGCTCCAGAGTTGCATAGCTGCACCCAGAGACAAGAGCCCTCAGCTTTCCCAGGCAGCTGCTCTGGGCAGAAGGGTGAGGAAAGTGCCCAGGCTCATTGCCACCTGTCTGAGAAATACCCCCCAGGTTTAGGGAGCCCATGAATGCTGCAGAGGAGACAACATTTGGGCATTGCAGGCGCGAAGCCATGTGAGTGCATCATGCAGAGGGGGCTTGGTGCCTTCTGTAGGGGTGCTACATGAGGGCTGCAGTGGGGACAGCGAGATAAGGGCTGCTGCGTCCAGAGCCGCCTGCTAAGCTGGTCACTGCTTTTCATGGAAGACCACGCCTTGTGCACACTGACCAGCCCAGAACAAACCCCCCGGTGTGGACCCCCACCCATCCCAGCCAATGACCCCACGGCGCGGGGAGGGGAGGAGCTGTCAGCAGGGGATAAAACCCCCCGGGGTCTGCAGCTCAGCTCCAAGCTCTGAGTGCTCCCACAGCCGCACGCCAACCCTGCCGCCACCATGGTGCATTGGTCCGCCGAGGAGAAGCAGCTCATCACCAGCATCTGGGGCAAAGTCAACGTGGAGGAATGCGGTGCCGAAGCCCTGGCCAGGTAGGTCTGCTCCGGGATGGGCTCAGCTGCTCCCAGGATACTGAAACCACTGCAGTTTTAGGAGGGAGTGTTAATGGTGTGTGCTTGTGTCCCTCATCTCTCTGCAGGCTGCTGATCGTCTACCCCTGGACCCAGAGGTTCTTTGATAACTTCGGGAACCTCTCCAGCCCCACAGCCATCATTGGTAACCCAAAGGTCCGTGCTCATGGCAAAAAAGTGCTGAGCTCCTTTGGGGAAGCCATGAAGAACCTGGACAACATCAAGAACACCTACGCCAAGCTGTCGGAGCTGCACTGCGAGAAGCTGCACGTGGACCCCGAGAACTTCAGGGTGAGCTGTGCTGAGGTTGTCCGTCTGTCCCTCCGGCCTGTGGAGCATTGCCTGGAGGGTTCTGGGGGAACTTAAGTAGCAGATATTTTAGGTATTGAAGGGAAAGGGGCTGGCTTGGACGGAAAGTGCTTAAGAGAAAGAGGGAAGGCTGTGCATCTAGTAATTTGAAGGAAGGGGCTCCAGGCTGGGACAAATCTGGGGACAGATAGAGGGAGATGCTCTGAGTGCCTGGAGGTTGGAAAAAAGCAGAAGGAAGGTGAGAGGCTGAGTAGGGCTGAGGGTCAAGGGGACGAGGGCCATGTGCAGTTTCTCCTTGGCACACCGTGCCTTGGGGATGACATATATGGGAGGAGAGGGAAAAGCCAATGTGGGATGAAGATGCAGGGATCTCAGGGGCTGGGTGCTGATGGGGAGAGATCAGCAGGCTGGGATTAGAGTCAGAGAGGTCTGCGTGTGGAACAAGGTCAGCAGATGAAGGAGGGGGGCCGAGGGGAGCAGAGGAGAGCAGGGTGCAGGGGTGGGCTGTGGCTGTGGGGGTTGGATGAGGCCCTTGGCTTCCATTCCTGCCCCTGCTTTGGGGATGCAGCAGACAGACGTGGCACTGACTTGAGCCCCAGCTCCAGTAGGCATGGGGATTCATGGCAGGAAAAAAACAAATTCAGAAACATTTTGGGAATACAGTGGAGAGGCTGGAGAAAGCAGGTGGGAGACAAGGACGGAACAGGTGGATCTTGGTGTCTGTGGTGAGCACAGGACATTTTCCTGCAGAAAGAGCATCTCTGAACCCCTCAGAGCTGCAGCCCCTGGGTCCTGTGCAGGGCAGGGGACGCTCCACACCATGCTGACCGCATTGCTTCCCTTCTCCCTGCAGCTCCTGGGGAACATCCTCATCATCGTGCTGGCCGCTCACTTCACCAAGGACTTCACCCCCACCTGCCAGGCTGTCTGGCAGAAGCTGGTCGGCGTGGTGGCCCATGCCCTGGCCTACAAGTACCACTGAGCTCCCAGAGCAGGACACAGCTGTGAGAGTCAATAAAAAAGCACATTGTCTGAACTGCTTGGTGTGCTCCTGTTGTGGGGAGGGTGGGAGCAAAGGGCACCAGAAGGGAAAGAGGGCTCAGGGCTCTGGGGAGCGTCATGGTCTAAAAAGACAGTCAGGTTTGCCAAAGGGGGGACATGTGGGGACATGTGGGGACAGAGGCCTCTCATCCAGCACTTGGCACGTCCCAGCCCACCAAGCGGTGCTTTCAGTCTGCAGAAATCACCAGGGAATATTTCTGACCTCTTCTGCACAGAAGGCAGAGCTGCAGGGCCGGACGCTTCTCAGCCTGCAGTGTGTGCAAGGGTAGAGATTTGGAGAGATTCCCTCAAGGCAGCTCAGACTGAAAAATGTATCCTCAAGGTGATAAAAAGCGTTTTCTGTATCAGATGAAAATGCTCTTTCCAGGAGCCTTGGGCATTCTGAGCAGAAGATGCTCCCTGCAAGAAGATATAGATGTCTGCAGAGTAGGGGCTGAGGGCAGTTTTTACATAGGATCAGACAATCTTGACTCAGATTGGCTTAATGAACAACGGTTTTTCACTGTAATGGAAGGGTTCTGTCTAAGAACATCAGTCTTATTCAGAAGTAAGTTAAAAAGCAGCAGGGAAAGATACATCTGTTTCAGAATGAAGAAACTCGTGATTTAGGAATGTGTTTCCTGCCTTCCTGCAGATAAAGCAGGGATTTGCACTTGTGACCCCTGTGAGCCACACATCCAGCCTGAGTGATAGGCAGAGGATGCAGGGATGGGGGGAAAAAGCAAAAAGCCAACAGAAACCAGAACAGCTTTCCTACAATACAACACTCTCCTGTCCACCAGCAAATGGCATTTCAGCCTTATTTCATAGAATCATACAATCACAGGATCAAAACCATTCCCCCTTGTCCTATCACTACCCACCCTTGCAAACAGCCATTCCCCCTCCTGTTTATATGCTCCTCACTTTGACCATTACAGAAACAAACAGGGAGCAAAGATGCTTACAGGATTTCAGCTGTCAACTTAAGCCCTTGTGAGTTCTGGAGGAGAGAGAAGAGTGACTGGCTGTGGTCCAGAGGCTTCATCTGCCACTGCTGCTGATAAGTAAAGCTTGGCGCAGGGTGCTGTGTGCTGCAATCAGAGTGACCAACAAACATTGCTTCTTTTGTGAGCTGCCTTTTGCTGCCAGCAGGATGATTTATCCATAATGTCTTCAATATCTTCATCAGTGATGTCAACAGTGGGGTCGGGTGCACCCTCAGCAGTTTGCTGATGGCCCCGAGCTGCGGGGTGCAGTGACACAGCAGGGGGACGGGATGCCATCCAGGGGGACACAGACAGGCTGAGCACTGGGGCCAGCTGAACCTCGTCAGGTTCAACAAATCCAAGTGCAAGGTCTGCACCTGGGTCAAGGCAACCCCCGTTAGCGATACAAGCCGGGGGATGAAAGGATTGAGTGCAGCCCTGCCGAAAAAGACCTGGGGGTGCTGATGGATGGAAGCTGGGCGTGAGCCAGCACTGTGCCCTCACAGCCCAGAAAGCCGACTGCATCCTGGGCTGCAGCAAAACAAGAGCAACCAGCAGGTCGGGGAGGTGATCCTCCTCTGCTCTGCGCCGTGAGGCCTCACCTGGAGCCCTGCGTCCAGATGCGGAGTGCAGGAGAGACGTGGAGCTGTTGGAGAGCATCCAGAGGAGGGCCACGAAAACCATCCAGGGATGGAACAGCTCTCCTGCGAGGACAGCTGGGAGCTGGGGCTGCGCAGATGGAGAAGGGAAGGGGAGGCTGCGAGGTGAGCTGAGAGCAGCCTGTCAGCATCTGAAGGGGAGCAACAGGAGAGAAGGGGACAGGCTCCTGAGCAGGGTCTGCTGGCAGAACAAGGGGAAATGGCTTCAAGCTCCACAACAGGAGATTTAGGTTGGATGTAAGGAAAAAGTCTGTTACAGTGAGGGTGGTGAGCACTGAACAGGCTGCCCAGATTTGAGCTGGATGCTCCATCCCTGGAGACTTTGCAGGGGAGGCTGGGTCAGGCCCTGGGCAACCTGATGGAGCTGTGCATCCCTGTGCAGTGCAGGGCAGTTGGAGTCAATTGCCCTCAAAGGTTCCTTCCAACTACAATGATCCTATGATTCTGTAAAATAGGAGAGTTCCTGTCCGTGGAATTGGCATTGCCCAGTGTGCACCAAGAAGCTGAGAGCCACACATGGGGCTCCTCCAGTCAGACCAAAGGAGACAGCAGGATGGAAGGATGCTGGGAAAGGGTTGTGGGTGAAGTGAATCTGTCCCATGTGAGTGCAAATGAGCTCTGACTTAGAGAGATGCATGAGATGGAGTCACCCCTGAAGAAGACCTCCAAAGCAGAGTGCAGGGCTGGGACTGTCTGAGCTGTTCTTTGCTTTTTGCTGAGCATCCCTCAGTCATCTCACTGCTTGGCAGAAAGAGCTGAATGCTTCTTGCCAGTCTTGCAGACACCATCCAGTTTGAATCCACCTCACTGTGAGCTCATTGTGGACCACAGCCCAGCTGCTGCAAAGGGGGGCATGCAGCCTCAGGTTCTACTCAGGAGCAAAAGAGAAATCAGGTGAAGGTCAGCAAGCCTCAGGAGCTGCTTCTTCATCTCTTGGTTTAGTATCTCCCCTTACACCCAGGTTGGAAGTCTGGATCTGCCCTTGTGGGATGGAGCTCCTGAGCTGCAGGACAGCAGCCACCAGCTCACCATCCCACCCCGTTTGCAAGGAATCTGCAACTTGCATCTGTAGAGCAATTTGTTGTCATTGCAACCTCCTCATTTCATGTCTACACCAAATGAGAAAGCATTTGCAGGAACAAATTGCTCACACGTAGCTCTGGCTCAGAGCTGCCATTGGTAAAACAGTGCAGTTTGTGGCTAGGTGGCCAATTAATTGCAGCTGAAGTCAGGCAGGGCTCAGCTCCTCACTGTCGCCGGCTACTCGCATAACTGAGTGCAACAGAGCATCCCATGGTGCATCGTTATAAAATGACAGTGCAAAGAGTGCTTTGCTTGTTTTTTTGACAGCCTCTCCTGCTGCCAAAAAAAAACACTTTGATTCAATGGACAACTATGGACAATAACCATGGAGAACTGCTATGGGTGATTATGGAGAACCACGCAACACAAAGAACAACTATGGAGAACTACTGTGGGCAACAACTATGGACAATAGGAAGAGACAACAGCTGTGAAACTCTTTACGAGTACTGACAAGAAAGGAGAATCCTGAATTCAAAGCAGGAGGCCTACATTTGGGATAAGCACTGGGCTCTTGTTTCCTGGAAAGCCTCTGATCCTTCAGTTTTGGGGCTGACGACGCCTGGAGCTGTTCACAATGGATTCCCAGGAGTGCAGGCACCAAAGCACCATCGAGAATCTGAAAACAAGGCCAAGGTAAAGGCTGTGAGCTCTTTGACATCACTGCCCATTTCACTGGATCTCTTCCACAAGTTCAGTCCCCAACCACTGGCAGTGACACTGGAAACCTGTGGCCATGGAAGGGCTGTGCAGGGAGCTCCATCTGCACTCAGGGCTGTGGCTGCGAGAGCACGAGTGTGAAATGAGGCTGGTCCACTCAAAGGCAGAGGGGCATGGGCCCCTTTTCCCCTTGGACAGCATCCAAATTTGCTATCTTTCCTTCTGCAGCTCTGCTCCCTCCCCAGACGCAACCAATGGAAATGTCAACTGAGATTAGGGCAAGCCGTGAGTAGTGTATAAAAATCCATGGGTAGTCTTTGGCCTCACCTCCTACTCATTGTTCAGGGAAGCCCAAAGCAAGCCCTACAGCTGCCGTCATGGTGCACTGGTCTGCTGAGGAGAAGCAGCTCATCACCAGCCTCTGGGGCAAGGTCAATGTGGCCGACTGCGGGGCCGAAGCCCTGGCCAGGTAGGTCCAGCTATGGGCACCGGCTCAGCTGCTCCCTGAGCAGGGAAATGGCTGCAATTGGAGGTGTGTTCCTGTGTGCCCCATCTCTCTGCAGGCTGCTGATTGTCTACCCCTGGACCCAGAGGTTCTTTGCGTCCTTTGGGAACCTCTCCAGCCCCACCGCCATCCTTGGCAACCCCATGGTCCGTGCCCATGGCAAGAAAGTGCTCACCTCCTTTGGGGAGGCTGTGAAGAACCTGGACAACATCAAGAAGAACTTTGCCCAGCTGAGCAAACTGCACTGTGACAAACTGCATGTGGACCCCGAGAACTTCAGGGTGAGCCTCTGGGGAGAACAGGCAGCACTTATGGGACTGAGGTGTGCGAGAGGAGGGATGCACGCTGGTGGGGTGGATGAGCACAAAATGTGGGGTGATTTACGTGCAGTCTGCAGAGTGAATGGAGAGAGACAACATCAGCCTGGAGCAGCAAGGGAGGAGAAGAGAAGAAACAAAGACAGGATTGGTGGGGAAGAGATGAGCTTGGAGCTTGAGGGAATGGTTAATCCAGGACAGAAAATAGACACAGCCATTTCAACAGAATGGGGGGATCTGAGTCAAAGAGAGCCAGGGTAGTGGGGAAACGAAGGGAGAGAAAAAGCACATCCAGAGCTGAGAGAGGTCACTGGCACAGCCGGTGTAGAGAAGGTGTTTGGGGAGGAGGGGGCTACAGCATGTTCCAGCATCCCAGCGAGTGCCAGAGTGCCAGGAACAGTGCATGGGCTGCAGGAAATGGGCTCCTTGCATCGTGATGGATCTCCATCACTGCCCTGGGATGGCTACGTGGTATGAAGGAGCTGGGAACAGCACTGGCTGATGGCTTCTCTTCTTCCTCCTTTGCCAGCTCCTGGGGGACATCCTGATCGTCGTCCTGGCCTCCCACATCGGCAAGGACTTCACTCCTGCCAGCCAGGCTGCCTGGCAGAAGATGGTGCGTGTGGTGGCCCACGCACTGGCCCACGAATACCACTGAGCCATGTGGAGATGCTGCCGGAGTCCTTGGGGTCTCTGGGCTGTAGCTGCCAAATAAACACTGCTGCAGTCAGGATAGAGTCTCTGCCTCTCTGTAGGGTCAGGGTGGGGGCTGGGAATGGAACGAGGAGCTCACATACACGGTACTGCAGGACATGTCTTATTTCCATGAATTCCTGCAGGTGAGATTCGTCTAAGCTGGATAAACACAGGGAGCATTCAAGACCTGAGCAAACAAACATACCCCAAAATACAAACAGGACACTGGTTCTGCACTGAGGAATCAGCAACATCCCTGCATTTAATGCTGTGAACTTCCACAGTTCGAGTGGAACAAGTCTTTGCACAAAAACGTGCAGTTGCAGTGAGATGAGGTGTGTTGTTTGTAACATCTTTGGTGGAAGGAAGCATGAAAGGGAGCCAGGAGTTGGACTCTATGATCCTTTTTGTCCCTCCTAACTTGGGATATTCTGTGAATTTATGGTACTGGTTTTCTGCCCTTGTCCAAATTGTTATAATTCTCAAATTATTAAAGGCAGAATTTAATAGTCGCAGGAATCTATTATGGCAAAAAAGTATTCCAAGAATGATCATTCCACACACAGAAAGGACAGAGCACTTGGTTTCACTGCCCCTACACCCAGCTTTTCAGCAGCAAAAGTTCCCTGAAGTCCCCTCACTGTGCAGATGGTGCTTTCCAGGCTCCCATCCCCATTTGAGCCCAGATGTGGCTCGCAGCATGCCCAAGGTTGCAGAGCAGCTCGGGGACACCTCTGGATCCTGGCACAAAGAATTCCTGCCCACGCCCTCCTGCCCTGTTATCAGAGAGAAGGCAGAAGTCACAGCTACAGTGCAGGCACGCACCCAACTCAGCTCTTTGTAGCCCTTCTACCAAGCCCTTTCCAAAGCAAGTGTGCAGAGAACTGGTGCATCTTTGAGCACAAGTGTCAGCCACAGCCCATGGCCAGCACCAGTGCCTTGTTCCATGGCCATCCACCCCTGGGCCAGCAGGTCCTGGCCCCATTACGTCCAGCTCCAGTCCTGCTTGCTGGCAGCAGCCTGGCAGCCCCAGGCAGCTCTCCCAACACACTGCCATGTCAGTGGGTCAGGTCAGGTGCTGCCTTCCTGCTGCCGGTGAGGCTGTCCCCGGTGTACCCAGTGTGTCCCACCTTTCCTAGGTCACCCGTGCACTGATGCCATGCAGGTGATCTCTGTGTTCTGTGTTCTGAGCCCACCTTGTTTCCCTCTGCCTGCAGGCTCTTTGAGGCAGGAGCTCTGCACCCTGCTGCCCCCAGCTCACTCAATGCTACCCCGAAGTCAGCAAGCTGCTCAATAGCTGATGGGAAAGAACAAGGAGAACCCAAGCCTGGCAGGAAGAGGAAGAGAGAGAAACCACACGCGTGTGGTTTGGTGTGCTGGGAGGAAGGACCCAACAGACCCAAGTTGTGGTCTCCTGCCTCAAGCAAGGCGGAGTGCTGTGGTTTGGAACTGTGTGAGGGGCACCCAGCTCACAGCACTGGGGTGGGCACACGGTGCCATGCCCACACCGTGCGTGGGGATGTATGGGGATGTATGGGGATGCATGGGGATGCATGGGGATGCATGGGGATGCATGGGGATGTATGGGGATGTATGGGGATGTACGGCGTAGTCACAGAGCTGCAGAGCGGGGAGCCGGGGGGGCTGGGCGGTGGTGTGGCCACGGATCTGGGCACCTTGCCCTGTGCCCCACCCTGATGCCGCGTTCCCTCCCCCGAGGTGCCAAGGCTGGGGGCCCCTCCTGAGATGCAGCCAATTGCGGGGTGCACGGGGAAGAGGAGGGGCCCGGCGGAGCGGATAAAAGTGGGGACACAGACGGCCGCTCACCAGCGTGCGATCCCCGCGGGAGCAGAGCCCAGACCTCCTCCGTACCGACAGCCACACGCTACCCTCCAACTGCCGCCATGGTGCACTGGTCTGCTGAGGAGAAGCAGCTCATCACCGGCCTCTGGGGCAAGGTCAATGTGGCCGACTGCGGAGCCGAAGCCCTGGCCAGGTAGGTCCAGCTATGGGCACCGGCTCAGCTGCTCCCTGAGTAGGGAAATGGCTGCAATTGGAGGTGTATGTGCTTCTGTTCCCTACAGGCTGCTGATTGTCTACCCCTGGACCCAGAGGTTCTTTGCGTCCTTTGGGAACCTCTCCAGCCCCACCGCCATCCTTGGCAACCCCATGGTCCGTGCCCATGGCAAGAAAGTGCTCACCTCCTTTGGGGATGCTGTGAAGAACCTGGACAACATCAAGAACACCTTCTCCCAACTGTCCGAGCTGCACTGTGACAAGCTGCATGTGGACCCCGAGAACTTCAGGGTGAGCCGTGCTCTTGCCTGGGTCCCAGCCCAATGCATCTCCAAGAGGAGATTCTCCCTGTGTCCCCCAGGACCCATGTGTGGGTGTTCCCCATAGATGTCCCCTAGGTGGAATTGGAGGCTGGGGTCAGAGGTGAGACACACAGAGAGGAAGGGAACCAACCTGCAGCAGTGAGAAAGGAATGAAGGGGATGGAGGGGCTGATGGGTGGGTGACAGTGAGGGTACAAAGGAGAAGGAAAGGCAGTGAGGAGGTGGCTGCAGTGCAGAAATGGAGGGGAGAGCAAAGCAAAAGCCACTGTTGGAGTGGAAAGAAGTCTGAGCCAAGGGGAAAGTGAAGGAGCAAGAGTGCAACATGGCATGGAGATGGGCGAGGAGCAAGGGACAGTGGCTGGATGCTGAGAGCCAAGCAGTGAGATGGGAGGGGTGGTGGAGGTCCCACATGCCAGCAGGAGTGTGGCTGTGCTGCCCACTCCCCGGAGCTCCCACCTGCAGCCAAATGGAGGATTTCTGCATAGCCTGTGACTCTTCTCATAGTAGTGGTAGAGGGAGGAAATATGGCCCGAGAGGGAGAGATGGAAAGCTTTGGGCCCAGTGGCTCAGCCAAGACAGGAACTGGTGTGTTTTGCACATTGTGCACTTTGATGTTTAGACTGAACAAACGGATTAATGAGTTTAAGGTATGTCTTAACAAGGGCTGTACTTCATAGGGTCATCTTTAAGGTATGTCTTAACAAGGGCTGTACTTTATAGGGTCATCTTTAAGCCTAGGCAGGTTTCCCTGGTGCCGGTGCAAGCACTGGCACAGAGAGGGGCTGGCTTCGGGGCACTGCTAACAGAGGGTCCTCCCATCCCCACAGCTCCTGGGTGACATCCTCATCATCGTCCTGGCCGCCCACTTCAGCAAGGACTTCACTCCTGAATGCCAGGCTGCCTGGCAGAAGCTGGTCCGTGTGGTGGCCCACGCCCTGGCTCGCAAGTACCACTAAGCACCAGCAGCAAAGATCCCGGAGCACCCTACAGCTACTGCATGCACCTGCAGAAATGCTCCGAGGCTGACAGCTTGTGACAGGCAAATAAAGTCCATTCAGTGACACTCATCTGCTGTCCGTGTGTCCCTGTGCAGCCTGGGGCTGGGGTGGGGGACGTGGGCACGGTGGGAGCTCAGGGGGGCAGGGTTGGCTCTATGGAGTGCTTCGTGCTCAGTGGGGTTTTATGGGGTTCTGTGGGATCTGTCTCTGGAAAGCAAACCTGCAAGCCCACGTCTGGGCAGGCACAGCTCTGGGAGGTTTGCACTGGGGCTATGTCTGTGGAAATGAGTTTTCTTACTGACACAGAGGAATCATATATTTAAGAGAGAATAAACAAAGTGAAGGCTTTAATCCTTCCTGGCTCATTTCTGGCATTCAGCCTCCCTGAAAGGAGCTGACTCATGCTAGCCCAGCAGCCAGCTGGGTGGGGGCAGGTTGCAGATAAACATTTTGCTATCAAGACTTGCACAGACCTTGTTTATGCACTTCTTCACCCTGCACTGCCCATTCTGCAGTTCTGGGTGGGGGAGGAGAGGGGGATTAATCCTGTCAGCAGTAGTAACTATTAATGATGTTCTGGAACCACAATCAATTGATGCCATCTGCACGCAAACCGCAGAGGTGTTTAAATGTGCACAGCGCAGGGCTCCCTAGGGTGGGGGTTGTTCTTGGCACAGGAGAACCACTCATCCTATTGAGATGAGCACGGGGCAGCAAAAGCAGCAGGCATGACGTGCTGCTTTCTAAGGGGAAACAGAGGGGATGCACCAAGAACCCCCGGCACCAAGTCTGTACCGCTGTCCCTGCTCCACCCCTGCCCATGGCATCCCCCTCTCCTCCTCTGACTCACTGCTGGTATCAAAGCCCCCACGGCCCCTTGGCCCCTCCTCAAGCACTCTGCTCAGTGGAAGGAGGGTGTCCTTGCTGTCACAAGGACAGAAGACACTTTGTGTTGAGACAGAAAGCGCTGTCTTCCTTGCAGGTGTCTGGGCACAGTGAGAGTCGTGCTCAGGTATCACCAGCCCAAGGCAGATGCAGGCAACTCTAATCCACGATTCAGATCTACTCCATGGTGTAATATAATGCATACAACTAGAAGGGAAAAGGGTATTAAAAGGCTGAAGGTCTCCCTCAGCATTTTCTTTCTTTTGATTGATTTTCCTCCCATTCCTTTATTTTTGGTACAAGGCCAGGAGGACACTGAATAAGTGGTGCTCAGCGGAGCTGGATTTTATCTTAGTGATCTTTCCCAACCTTCAATGATTCGGTGATTCTACGGAGGAAGGCAAGCCCAGGACTCTGAGGAGGATCTCAGCCCCTTTCCAGCTCTGCTGCCATACAAGCACTCTCCCCTCCTGCTGCTGCTTCACCATGCCCCTGTGCCTCTTGGATGTCACTGGTTACAGATACCAATAATTCATTCTTCTGATACTTCATGCAATGGTAGCTCCACTTGTTTAGAATGAGCCTTCAGCACTCTCATGCAGGGACACTGCTCCTGGGAAGGCACCCCGCGCTGTGTTCTCAGGGGCGGCACAGGAGAGCACTTTGCGAGGTGTCTGAACAGCTCCTCAACCCGGGGAAGATGTGGTTCGTGCCAGCTTTGTCATAGAATCATACAATCATTCAGGCTGGAAAAGCCCTCCAAGATCTCTGAGCCCAACCCCAACCCACCCCAGCATGCCCACTGGTCACATCCCTCTGTGGCTCTGGAACCCCTCTGGGGATGGTGACTCCACCACCACCATGGGCAGCTGTGCCACTGCATCGTCACGCTCTGGGAGAAGAAATGTTTTCCAATATCCAGCCTCAATCTCCCCTCGCTGGGGGAGGATCCAACTGTTGGACACCCCCGAGCTGAGCTTTGGCTGTTTTCTGAGCCCACATCAGGTGCAGCAGAGACAACTCTGGAGTTCAAAGCATATTTCCCCTGTTCTTCACGGATGTGAACACAAGCAGAACCAGGGTGAAAGCAGCGATCCTGTTCAGTCCCTGTGCAGCAGCTCGGCATGTGGCCTTGTCACCTTACAGCTGATGGGTGAGCTTCCAAAATGGAAAGAAAACGGCCCAGGTCGTGGTTTGTCATAGTAATGGGGTTAAAGTCCATTTCAGTGTTCGTGGAGCCCGTGGTGCCTCTGCTGCTGAAGCAACCCTGTGCTGCATGGCCTCGGGCTGCATGCTGGAAAATGTCATGGGGCAGCTCTGGGAGAGGTGCGTGTGGAGGCCCATGCGTGTGTTGCAAATGGAGGCCGGCTCTTGGTTGGATATCAGGAAAAACTTCTTTACAGAAAGGATTTTTAAGCGCTGGAATTGGCTCCCCAGGGAGGCGATGGAGTCACCATCCCTGGATGTGCTTAAAAACTGTTTGGATGATGTGGTGCTCAGGGACACGATTTAATGGAGGGTTGGCAGAGTGAGGGTAGGATGGTTGGATTTGATGATCTTTAAGGTCTTTTCCAACCTGAGCAATTCTATGGTTCTATGACTCTATGTGCAGCCCTTTCTGTGAAAAGAGGCCCAGGTCTGCAGGGCAGCACTGGAGGAAGGGTCAGAGCCGGGATGACCGGAGGCCCCTTGGCTGCTGCCACACCCTGACCGCCCCTCCTGCCCCCCAGCACAACCCCCACCCATCCCAGCCAATGACCCCACGGCGCGGGGAGGGGAGGAGCTGTCAGCAGGGGATAAAACCCCCCGGGGTCTGCAGCTCAGCTCCAAGCTCTGAGTGCTCCCACAGCCGCACGCCAACCCCGCCGCCACCATGGTGCATTGGTCCGCCGAGGAGAAGCAGCTCATCACCAGCATCTGGGGCAAAGTCAACGTGGAGGAATGCGGTGCCGAAGCCCTGGCCAGGTAGGTCTGCTCCGGGATGGGCTCAGCTGCTGCCAGGATACTGAAACCACTGCAGTTTTAGGAGGGAGTGTTAATGGTGTGTGCTTGTGTCCCTCGTCTCTCCGCAGGCTGCTGATCGTCTACCCCTGGACCCAGAGATTCTTTGCGTCCTTTGGGAACCTCTCCAGCCCCACGGCCATCATGGGCAACCCCAGGGTCCGTGCTCACGGTAAGAAAGTGCTGAGCTCCTTTGGGGAAGCCGTGAGGAACCTGGACAACATCAAGAACACCTACGCCAAGCTGTCGGAGCTGCACTGCGACAAGTTGCACGTGGACCCCGAGAACTTCAGGGTGAGATGTTGGCACGAGGAGATGTTGGCAGCCTGAGCCCGTTCCCTGTGCAATGCCTTGCTTTGAAACATGGGGGCTGCCCCAGCCACGCTGGCTGAGCACTTTCTATCTGGTGGAGTCAGCATCCCTGCATAGACCCAGTGAGTGCAGAAGTCTTTGCAGGAGGGCAGGTGGCTTTCAGGCTGAAGAATTCCATTTTTTTGTGTCAGTGTAGCAATGGGAAGGAGAAAGTACTGTGAGAATGTAAGCTAAAGGAGGCATTTGGGTTGAGAACAAATGAAAGCAAACCAGAGGAAGGCGCAGGCTGGACTGGAGGAAGCAGAGGTGGAGGGATGTTCAGCAGAGCACTGAAGGAAGTCATACATCCTATAGAATTCTGTGATTGTATGGGAAGAACAGCAGCTCTGAAAAGACAGAGCAGGTTTATGGCTTATCCAGAATGGGCTGCCTGTCTGGATCATAGAATCATAGAACCATAGAACCACAGAATGGCTCAGGTTGGAAGGGACTTTTAAGCCCCCCAGTCTCACCCCCTGCCGTGGGCTGCGTGTCCTCTGCCTCAGGCTGCCCAGGGCCCCATCCAGCCTGGCCTTGGGCACCTCCAGGGATGGGGCTCCTACAGATTCTCTGGGCAACCTGGGTTGGAATGGGCAGTCTTTCTTCCCCTAACTTCTGCAAATAGGAATGTGTAGATTTCCTCATTTGCAACAAACAAACGAACAAACAAACAAATAAATAAATTACAAGCAGTGTTTTGCAAGGTGGATATTAGGCCAAACCAGCATCCCAAGAATGGAGGAAAACAGTCTCAATGCTTTTTCTCCACCCGCTCTCCCTTTATTTTCGCAAGGATGGAGCAGACCACTTTTTTTTCCCCCCAGACTCTGAGCTTTCTAGGCAAAGAGTGAGCACTTGGGCCCAGCAGCCCCAGCAGCAAGCGCTGAGGCTGTGCTGGGTAGGAAGAGGAGATGCTCCCTGGCTGTCCAAGCAGCACTAATCTTTCCTGCTCTCCACTTTCTCCCGCAGCTCCTTGGGGACATCCTGATCATCGTTCTGGCTTCCCACTTTGCCAGGGATTTCACTCCTGCCTGCCAATTTGCCTGGCAGAAGCTGGTCAACGTTGTGGCTCATGCTCTGGCCCGCAAGTATCACTGAGCTGCATCACAGCATGGCCATAGCCCCCAATAAACACCTGGAATGCATGTGGTCTGTCTGTCTGTGTTGGGGGGGTATGGGGAGAGTCATGGGGCTGCTGAGGCAGGGTTCTCATCACTCTGGGGTGCAACCATGCGTGTGCTCTGCCTTGACATGCACATGGGGCTGGGGGGAGAAACCCACACCAAATGCTGGAACACACTTGCAAGGGGTCTGGCACTGGGAGGGCATCAGAGAGGGCTGCAGGAGTAACTGGGGACTGGGAAGAATGCAAGCCTGTTCTCCTGATGCTAAATTAATCAGAAATGAGATGATTCTGTGATTTGCCCAAGGAGGCTGTGGATGCCCCATCCCTGCAGGCATTCAAGGCCAGGCTGGATGTGGCTCTGGGCAGCCTGGGCTGCTGGTTGGCGACCTGCACACAGCAGGGCTTGGAGCTGGATGAGCGCTGTGCTCCT